TCTTCTGCAAAAAACCACAGTGTAGACATAGCCTCAGAGTCCTGATTTCCCATTGACTTGTCCCCTTTCTTTGGTACTGGGAGTTAGCCTGCCAACCTCCTCCCCCCCCCCACTAAGTTTCAGTAAGGGGCCAATAGTCCCCTTATATTAAGAACCACTGGTTGTGCCTACAGTAACTCTGAGGATGCATTCAGTGAGTTCAGCGTAACTTGAGTAGGACTTTGCAGTGTGGGTGCTCACACAGTGCTACGCTAACCCCAGAGGGCAATCATGTGGGCTAACTGCAATAAAAGCATATTATTAGTTCTCCCTGCAACTTACTATTTTTACCAATAACCTAGTTATCATGTTTATACTCAGGATACTCCACTGTGTATTTGGTTTTAAAACTTTAAATGATTTCACCCTGTCTGCATAGACTGCAAATGTGGGGCTTTCTTTCAACTTCCTTCCTTAATAAGGTGGCCATACTTCCCAAAGGGAAAAGAGGACACTGTGTGGGACTGGCCCAACCCTCCCTCCACCTGCGGCTGTTCCAACCACCCATTGGAGCACCCCCTCAAGTACAGGGGCAGGCAGGCATCAAATGAGCAGCTACACACATTAAAAAGGGTGACTATATTTCCCAAAGGCTGGGGCTGCCATCACAGTGAGCCCTCCCTGCTCCCCATATGAGTCTGGGACTGGCATGGCAGCTTGCTCAAGCCCTGCCTCTCCCCTTCCTCCTCTTGCAGGATAGCAGCACTGGCGGTCTCTATATACATTCCTCCTCACCCCTCTTTTTGGCAAAAGTGGATATTTGTCCTGTTTTCTCTTGATAACTAATCAAGCTGGCAAGAGGAAATGGGACAAATGCTCACTTTTGCGCACACACAGACAAATCAGAATGGCTGGGACAGAGCTTAAAAAAAGGGACTGTCCTGGTCAAAGTGACATAATCCCCCTATCCCTTAAGGTAACTTGTCTCAAAGATAGCAATTTTTTTGGAAGGAAAGCACAACCTATCTCCTTTCTCCCCTCACACCTTTCATTTGCTTGACTGCTTCCCATTTATGTTTGTCTGTAATTCTGTCGTTATTCTTGACTTAGATTACTTTTTCCTCCTACATCTCCTGACTTGGAAACCCCACAACACTATGCAAGCCATTGATTTACTTGCTTCTGCTGAAATTCTCACCTATTCCTTTGCTTCCAGTGCTGTCACTTCCTAGAAACCTCTCCAAATTTTAGCTATCATGTGCATAGTACCATAACACCAGCTCCATGCTTAGATCCACTAACTTCCTGTTCCATTTAGGATGTTCTCCCTCAGTTTTGCCAACTTACTTGAAGTCTTATCTCCTTCCTGATTTTTTTCCTTTTCTTTCATCTAGTATTGATCACCTTTCTAGCATTCCACACAGCCTTACCACTATTGGATCCAAGATCCTTCTCTTTTGTAGCTCCTGCCATCTGGAACAGGTTTCCCTTGCCGCATTAACTTTCATACTGTTTTTAGAGCTCATCTAAAAAACTAGTGTTTCTTAACTCTTTTTTCTCTCTGCTTTCATGTATGTCTGTAACAATACTACTTAAAGCAAAATTACACATTGTCACATGTAGTTGGTGTTACCTCCAGACATCAGAAAATACTGTACTATGTCTGAGTGTGGTGGGCTTTCTGAAGCATTCCAAGGAGATATCTTTAAACTTAAGAGATTCGAATTGACAATCTTTATATGGAAGGTAATCTCCCATTGGCTTTAGTGGAATTTTCCTTGAAAATGGACAGCAAAATGGGGCTCTAAATTAATTTAACTCTGAATACTGCCATGTTCCAGAAAACTGTGAAATACAAACACACACATTGCATTTCTTTTCCTGTCATTTCTGATTACTGTAAGTTTTGGGCATGAAAAATTTGTTTTTTCTAACCAGCTACGCCACCCAAGCTTGGCTGATTCATGCTATGATATAATCAACTGTTTGAGACAGCTTAGTTGCTACCATGGTGATGAACTGTGACATGCCAGAATAACTCAGGTAAGATCAGATTGAATTTGTGCCAAAAGCTCTTCCCTTTTGACAGTTAAAGTGGTGCAGCAGCAATGCATACTGTTTCTTCTTAAAAAGTACTGCCTTAATATTCCCTGACTGCTCCCAGTACCTTTTTAGAACTCCATAGTGTTTTATTTTTTTTCTTACTTGTATGCCTACTGGCAGAGAGCAGCAGCCTCTGGGCAGAGCTAATTATTTTATTAGGTCAGATCTGTACCTAAGACTAGCTAGCTAGCAGAGGTTGTTGTATCAAGTCCTGTAGACAGAGTATCCAGAGAGCTACGTCATGGAAGTTGGAGTCAGGATAACTGTTACAATCTAAAATATATGGCCAAGATTAGCAGATGCTTAATTTAAGCATAAATGATAGTGAGTGTAAACATTTTTGTTCTGAAGCTCTTACTTTCTTTGCTGTCAAAAGCACAATATAGATGCCAACTCTGGTCAAATTTGCTGAACATAGCATACTGTCAGTCCTGAATGATTTGTGGTAGAAAACATGGATGAGTGTGTGCCAGGACTGGCTAATTAGAGGTGAAATGCTATCTGAATTTCAGTACTGCCTGATTTGTGGAGGATATTATAGAATTCCCAATACTGATTTATGGCAGATTTTGGACAGATACTGTTACTCATTAATGGTTGGATATTCCATAGGGTGTAAGGAACTAGCTAGTTAGTTCAGCCAGTACAGATTAGGGATGTTAAAATGAGGTTAAGTAAACATGTAACTGCAGAAAATGTCAGTGGTTACAGGGTTATATGTAGAGGGTGGAGTAGGGAGCTGATGCACATGGGGAGCCACTTTCAAGTCTCAGAGGGGTAGCCGTGTTAGTCTGAATCAGCAACACTATCACAGGACCTAACCAGATCAGCCATACTGTCACTGGTACATTCTCCTGCACATCTACCAACGTAATATACGCCATCATGTGCCAACAATGCCCCACTGCTATATACATCGGCCAAACTGGACAGTCCCTACGTAAAAGAATCAATGGACACAAATCTGATATTAGGAATGGCAACATACAAAAACCTGTAGGGGAACACTTCAATCTCCCTGGACACACAATTGCAGATCTAAAGGTAGCCATCCTGCAGCAAAAAAACTTCAGGACCAGACTTCAAAGAGAAACTGCTGAGCTACAGCAAAATGCAGGACAATGTAGCACTTTAAAGACTAACAAGATGGTTTATTAGATGATGAGCTTTCAAGGGCCAGACCCACTTTGATCTGAGGAAGTGGGTCTGGCCCACGAAAGCTCATCATCTAATAAACCATCTTGTTAGTCTTTAAAGTGCTACATAGTCCTGCATTTTGCTTCAGCTACCCCAGACTAACACGGCTACATCTCTATCACTGCTGAGCTACAGTTCATCTTCATGTTTGATACAATCAACTCTGGATTAAACAAAGACTGTGAATGGCTAGCTAACTACAAAAGCAGCTTCTACTCTCTTGGAATTCACACCTCCAGATCAGCTACTAGAAGTGGGCCTCATCTTTCTTGATTGGATCCACCTCGTCATCTCCAGCCTGATTCTGGCCTGCATATTTATACCTGCCTCTGGATATTTCCACTACATGCATCTGATGAAGTGGGTCTTTGCCTACGAAAGCTTATGCTCCTACACTGCAGTTAGTCTATAAGATGCCACAGGACTCCTTGCCACTTTCACGTCCATTCTCTATGCTCACCGTCTTCCACCTGCCTCCTCACTCCTCCTCCCAAATACAGAGGCAGCAGCGCAGGGGGAGGGCGCATGTGGGGAGCCTGCTTCCCGTGTGTACTGGAGCCTGCATGTAACTGTGAAGGTTAACCGAAGAGCCCAGGCTCCTCGGATAATTGTGTGCAAGGTTATACTTTCACATACCTAATACAGATTTCATAAAGTCCTGGTATTGGCTAATTTCTAATGGGTATCTGTACTAGTTAATATGTCAAGAAGATCACAGTGTTGGCACTGGATGATCAGTAGCTGATACTGCATAGGGTGCCCAGATGTCTTATGCAGACCAAAAAAAAAGTGTCCCAATTTTTCATATTTGCTATCTGCTACATGTTGGTATTGGATGATCAGTGGTACTAGCAGATATTACCTGAGATATTAGTACTAGGTGATTAAGGGCAGATATCAAATAGGGAATCGGCACAGGATGATTAGGGTAGATATGTGGAGTGACAACATTGGGTGATCAATGGTGGGCACCACATGGTATGGATAATCCTGGACAGTTCTGGTTAAATATCATATAGGACATTGGCACTGGCTGATATGGTAGATATCATCCAGGTGTTGATAATGAGGAATTGGGGGTATGTATTACAATGCCTGTCAGTACTAGGAAAGTGAAAGGTTAACTGATAAGCATCAACCTAAATGGGTAATGTTTACCCATTCCAGTCAACTGGTGAGGGTTGGAGTAGCTCCCCACCTACCACAGGCAAGGGGCTGCTCTTCCATCTGGAGCAGCTTCTGCCCACAGAGAGCCTGGGCATCCCCCCCCAGCAGAAGCTGCTCCAGCGGGGGCTAATGGTGGGAGCCCCACACATTATTGGGGGCTGTCACAGCTCGGCAAGAGCAGTCCCCAGTACAGACCCCTTGGCAGTCAGTAAACTGGTTAAATCCCAGGGAGGCCTCACGTTTAACCCATGAACTGAGTGACGGGGATTTTGCATCCCTAGTCAGTACTGGGTGATCAAGGGTGGATATGACAGGGGCTGTCAGCGCTGGATGAGCAGGGGTGGGGATCACCCCAGGGGGGTGATGAGGCTGGATACCCAGGAGTGTTGGCACCAGATGCTGAGGGCTGGATCCCACGGGGCGGTAGGGATGGGCGAAGATCCCAGGTTTTCACCGACAACTCAGACCGCACCGCGGGAGGGCGCCCCAGGCTATGCCGGAGCTGCCCCTGGCGTGTGGGGCGCTGAGCGCCGGGAGGGCGGAGTCCTGCCTGCCTCTGGGCCGGGCCCTTCCCTCCGCGTTGTAGCTGCAGCCACGGCACCTTGCAGCAGCCGCCGGAGGTCGGGTCGGCGGCGGAGGCTGAGCCGCGCAGCGCCCGTGGGCAAAGGCGGCGGCAGGTGATGGTGCGCGGCCCCCGCCCGGAGCAGCAGCAGCAGCGGCGTCTGGGAAGAAGCCGTGAGGGACCCCCCGGCTCAGCGCCCGCCCCGTCGCCACCTTCCCCCCTCCCGCCACGGGGTGAGTCATTGCCCGCCGCCTCCACACGCCCTGGCTTCTCGCCCCTCCCGCCTGCAGCAGGCTGAGAACGGGGGGCGCTGGGCGGGCGCGTGGGGTTCCCGGGGGGCCGGAGAGCAGGCGCTGGAAGCCGGGGGGCTGGCCGGGACTGGTCCCTGCTGCGGCTCCGAGACTCATTCCGGCAGCTGCTGCAGCTTTATTTTGGGGGCTGGTTTGTTTGCCTGCTTTCACCCTGTCCCGTCCACGCCCTGGCTGCGCGCTCTGGGGCGTCGCCCCGGTGCGACCGGCCTGGCCCCATCATTAGTGCCGGCCGCAGGGAGGCCAGGCTGAGGAGTCCGGTTTGTGTTTGGTAATGTGGAAGCTCGGCTGCCGCACCACTCGGGCGGGGACTTCCGCAAACGTAACTGCATTGCAAACAAAGGCGCTGCGGAGCTGGTCGTCCGGGGGCTGCCATCGCTCCCCCTGACCTGCACCTGTCCGTCCGGGTGCAAGCTCCCAACACAACCCGCTGCTGTCTTTTTACCCATCTGTGCACCGCTGCCAAGCAAGGTCCTTTTGAATGAGTGATACCCAACTGGCTGAATCACATAGCAAAATGGAGTGAGATTTTGTTTTTCCATGTCTCTTCGAAGCATAGTGGAAAGCCTGTATCACAAGTGGCCTTTAAAATAACTAGAAATGAGGATACGGCCCTTCAAATGGGTCAGACTGGAAGAAGGAGAAGATCAAGCATAACTTCTAGGTCCAAATGTTTTCATTAGCAGACTTTTCTGTGCTGCTGGGCCACTGTATTATCTGAGTACATAAAAAAACTGTGTGTGAGTCCTTAAAACATCCTGTGAGGTAGGGAGGTAGCGGGGAATTTATTTGTACTTCTTTGTGTTGTCTTATCCCCACAAAGGGTTAGAAGATATGGAAAAATAAATAACAGAAATAGAATTGAGAGAGAATGTGTCTTGCTCAAGGTCACTCAGGATGTCTGTGGCTGAGCTAGCAATCAATCCCTTCTCTCCTGAGAACTAGTTCAGTGTTTTAAACTCCATTCCATTTTTCTTCTCCTTGAGCTAGAATGGTGGGATAAAAGATTCTTGACATTGGGGAGAATGGGTCAGAGCTTGGATGGAAGAGGGTTTTGAATTTAAGGGAGTAACAGGGTTTTCCCCGATTACTTATTGGGTAAATTAGAGGTTCAGTTGTAGTGTTTTTATTCAATGGTATGTGTACTACATGTGATGATGAGATGGGGAAAATTCTTGTTAATAGTGCAGGAGGATTTGAGAAATACCTTGGGAGTTTTTCCTTCAATCTTAAGTATTAGGAAGGTGATAGTCATCATACTTGCCAAACTTCTTTCCTACTTAGTGCAGTGCTCTTCCTTCTGTCCCTTACACTTACAGTGCCTCTTGTCTAACACTCAGAAAAATGGGAGGAAGAGGAGTATTTGCTTGCTTACATTTTTATTGGGAGATGTTTAGGTATTCCTCAGATTGAATCCTCTCTCATTGTTCTTTCCTGATATCTCTGAGATTGTCAATCAGGCCAAAAATATTGAAAGAACCAGACATGTTCACATTTAACCTAATTCTCCAGGTCCTTTATGAGAATGTGAATGTTTTAGCACACACGCTTCTTTTTGGGGAACCCGGTCACATCCCATCTTTCCTCTCAGTTCAAATCTTTGGCATCTGCTGTGATTATAACCTCCATATGCTATAACCTCCATAGCATACTAGCCTCAAGAAATGTCTACACTACAGAGAAGGTCGAAGCTGCTGATGTCGATCTTCCAGGGTTCAAATTAGCGGGGCTAGTTAAGACAGCTAATTTGAACTGAGAGGGGCACTCCAGTCAATGCTGGTAGTCCTGCTTCCATGAGGAGTAAGGAAAGTTGAAGGAGGAGTGTTTTCCCTTCAACTTCCTGCAGTATGGATACCGCCAAAAGGTGAGTTAAGGTACTTTGACTTCACCTATGTAATTTACATAGCTGAAGTTGCGTATCTTAATTTGACCTTATCCTGTAGTGTAGATACACCCTCATTGTCTAGAAATTGCAATAACACAGTATTCAGTGTTGTGGGTGAGGTCTAACTACAGTCTGTGATAACTGAGTCATTTCATGCCAAATTAATGCTTCCCAGTTGACCATCCAGATTTTGATGGAATGTACTGTGCTAATAGTTCACGTTTCATTGGAAGCATTGGCTAAATGCCAAGTTTCCTCTGAAACATCTTCAGAGGAATTGTCACTTCCTATCCAGTGGTAGGGTATCTAGCTAAACATGATGCTCTCGCTTGCAGATTTTCAGGTTTTGTATATATATTTTTTTTAAATTAAAACCTAAATGAACTAACCTCTTGATCAGTGGGAACTTTTTATTTACTACTTTGTTCATACTCTTGCATGTTTCATTTATCAGCATAGCTATGGGCATATATAGTACAGGTTGTATCTCCCTGGTCCAGTACCTTTTGGGACCTGATCAGTTCTGAACCAGGGAATCTTCCAGACCAGAGGAGGTCAGTACTACGGATGTAAAACTGCGGTTAAAAATGTAACCATGTAATCACTAAAAATCATAAAGGTTACACACACTATGAACTCTGAAGTGTACAGCTTATTTAAGCTTTATACAGCAGTGTTTATAGCCCTCCTGGGGAGCCAGCATGTAACCTGTGGGGGGTGGACGGGCAGGCCTGCCATGGACAGAGGTTGCTTCTGTGGGCCCTGCACGGGGCTGCTCGAGCCCCTACTGGTTAACCAGAACCAATAAGCCTCACCTTTTAAGGGTCAGGCTAATCAGCTATCCTTTTACACCCCTAGTCTCTGCTGGCCCATCTGTTGCTGCCGGATATAGGGCTCCACTCTGGCAGCAGCAGAGAGGCTAGCATTGACCAAGAAGGGATTGGGGGGGTGGCACTTAGGGGAAGATGCAGGATGGTTGTGGAGCTCTTCTCCTGAAGGCCAGGAATGAAGCCCTGTGGAAGTGCACCGAGCTCTGCAGCCACTAGGCTGCACTCCTGTCCCCTGCCACTGACTGTGGGACTGTGCTTCTGGCTCCACCACCACCCTGCCTCTTCCTGAGCGTCCCCTCCATCCCACTCCTCTGAGCTATTTACGGTGCCTTGGAAGCTCTGGAAGGGTGGAGGGAGTTGCTGAGCACCCAGGCCCAGCTTGTACCCATGAGTGTTCCAGTCCAGGGGTACTCATGGAGAAACTGGACCACAGAGGTTGCCAGACAAAGGAAGTTCAGACTATGGAGGTCCAACCTGTCAATGAGCTTACCTCACAAACCAGCAGAAGTTCAATATTTATCTGTGTGAAGTGTTTGCTGCTAGGTATAGAGTTTTTAAGACCTAGTTTTGTGTTAGCCGCATCATAACATGTAACTACTGGTAGTTTTAAAATGTAAATTACATATGTTAAATCCATGTAATTTTCACTATCACATTATATAACCTGTTAAAGATTAGTTCAATTTTGGATTTAAACTTTTTAGCAAAAAATCTTTCCATTCTCAGTTGGGCCAAAACAAGTCTCTTATGAAAGTGAGTGGAGAAAATATTAGCAGTTAAAAATCATTGGTGTTCCAGAGGAACTGATAAAGGCTCTTTGTGATGGCAATGCTAGCCTCTCTTGAACATAGTTTAGTCTAGATGTATAATAAATACAGGATCTTCAAGGGGTAGCCGAGTTAGTCTTACAGAAAAAAACAACAAATGATCTGGTAGCACTTTATAGACTAACAAAACATGTAGATGGTATCATGAGCTTTCATGGGCACAGCCCACTTCTTCAGATGACCGGAGTATGAGTAGGGGATATGAAAACTCAAAATAAATAGGCGAGGGAAAGGAGAGGGGGGAGAAAAAGAAAGGGGAGTGTGAGACAGGGCATCATTAAGTATCTGAAGAATGGGTACTTACACCTAAGCAGATCAAAGTAAATAGATAGGGTCTGACTGCCTACTTGCATCTTGTGCAGTCATTTACATGGACAAAGTGAGTGTAAAATGTTACCAAACCAGAAGGGTAGCATGTCACATCCACTTTGCTCAGGTGTAAATAAATATACAGGATGGTAAGCAGTGGAGAATGTATTTTTACGTCTTTGTTGTGTTGTCTTAATCCCCCAAAAGCATTAGAGGATTTAGATAATTAAATAACACCAAAGGCAGCCTCTGATCCAGAAGGCTAGCAATCAAATGATTTCTAAATACTAAAGAGATTAATCAAAAGAAAGGTGGAGCAGAGGAAGAATGAGACAGGGTGTTTGCATGAGTAGTAGTTACAGAGGTCTTGGGAGTTTCAGGTGGTCAACAGTGTAAGCAATGCTAGTGATTTGTAGGGACTCCACATCAAAGGTACCTTTATAAATGGATTGAAAGGAGGATAAAGGGCTGGCTTTTGAATTCTGATATTGGAGAACTGTGAACTTGACTCTGTACTCTATATAGCTGTGCTTGTGGTATGCAAACTGGTGCTGAAGAAATCAAGTTCTGATGGGTATGCTCCTAAAAAGCAATATGAAAGGTCCTGCACATCTGCTTTTGTTTGTAATGTTTAAAGCAGCAAAACATAATACAGATATTATACAGATAATCAGATATACAGAGCATAATCCTAGAAAGATCTTGCATATGTAATTTTGTTAAAGGGCACAATCCCATGGTAGTCAATATAGGACTAAATGTTAGTTGTAGAATCAGCCCTCTTATTCTGGTATTTCGATGGCAAAATACCCAGCAGCTTTAATAGAAACATGGATTTGGCCAATAATACTGCATTTGCTAATATTCTCTCATTTGCCTGATGTTTGAAACACATTGTATTGTCAGGATTTTGTGAGGTGAAGTTAACATCATTACCTTTGTAGCTCAACACTAGAAACCACTTCTGAATGCCTTACATAGGTTCATGCACTGTTTTATTGGCCTTGATGGCTCACAGTAAATATTTTAGTATCTGTTATGAGAGAAGTACAAAACTTTAAGCATGACACAGAT